GAGTGTGAATCCTTTGCTTCGGGATTTAATTTTGGGGTGGGGATCAGTGATGCAGGGGAGGAGGAATGATGGATTCGTAAATCCGTCCGTGCCGTATCGGGGATTGGGGTTGCGGTTGGAGGTTTGATGGTTCTTGCATGGGTTTGGTGGTTGGTTGTGTTTGGCTCCGGTGCTCCTTTGGGGATTGTGGTTCGCGAGAGGGAATTTTTTTATATTTTTTGATTTTTGATTTTTGAGGGACAGGGGTGAGGATGAGGGTGGCCGTGATCGTGATCGTGATGGACGGAATAGGGAATGCGGGAATTGTAGGAATGTTTTTGTATTTGTATTTGCATTTATATGTTTATACTACCATAACAACTGAGAAAAACGAAAAAGAATCGCGGGATTGATTCATCGGTCATGATAGATTTAATCCAAAGATCTAGGCCACGAACAGCAACCCGACGACTTTCAAGATGATGTAAGAGTGGTATTGTGGGAGTGAAGTCCCTCCTAACTATACCATTCTCCTCTCCACCAAAAGAGATAGGAGACCTCTTTGACGAGTAGAAGAAAGAGAAGAAAGAATCATCTCCTCCTCACTGTCGTTTTCATCATGACTGCTATGATACTTCGCACAAGATATCACTACATGAGATTCTCAACATCGATCATACCATACATAACATTGATCTCTATACTCCAATAAAACCTCATCCTCTCTGAATTCTCGTCTAGCGATACCTAGGTATGCTAAGTTCTTATTCTACCCAAACCATATATCACAAACGATCATCAATATCAAGAGGGTAGAAGATTGTAGAATTCAGATATAAATAGGGGTTCTTCTATCGAAAATTTGGTCTACTAGGATCAGTAGATACCTAGTCTTTTCATTCAGTGAGGTTGATAGTGAATATATGTAGGTAAGTATCTAGTGCTACCTACCCGCAATCACATTGAGTGCGATATCCAATCTACACCCATCGTCTGAGATTTCTCAAAAGCAACTTGAATCTACTTCCATATTATTCGTTCATTGCCAGCTTGGAAAGGTTCTGTGTACTAACCTACATCGCATGACTATTGTCGTACTCTCTCACACGATCCATAGCGCCCCGATTCGGCGTAGCAAAGACAAAAATATATAAATGCTAACTCGGCGTCCATCTATGCATGGAATCCGTATACGTACCGAGAAGGTTATAATTGCTCCATCTATTAAATACTACACATCTAGAAACTTGAAATTTCACGGAATCTCTCGCATATCTATATCTTCATCCGTATATCTATGTTATGGTTTAAAAGGGGTATAATCAATTCTCATGTATCTAAATGAATCTCTCGGCTCTCTGGCTCTCTGGCTCTCCTATACGTATACAGCTCGTCAAACTACTGCAGAAAAATATTTTGTAGTTATTTCTCTTGAGTTTAATCATTCTTTTAGGTTTAGTTATTCTTTTGAATTCAATCATTCTTTCAGATCCAATCCTTCTCTCAAATTCAACTATTCTCTTAAATTCAATCATTCTTTCAGATTCAATCATTCTTTCAAATTTAATCATTCTCTCTCTCGAACTCAATTATTTTTTCAAACCCAATCATTCTTTTAAAAACAATTATTCTCTCAAACACAATTTAAAACCAATTATTCTCTCAAACTCAATCATTTTCTTAGATTAATTTATTATTTCAAATTCAATCATTTTCTCAGATTCAATCATTCTCTTAGGTTCAATCATTATGTCAAATTCAATTATTTTCTCAAGTTCAATCATTCTCACACCTATCCTCATATATCTGTGAATACAAGACCCAAGTACAAGTACAAGTACAAGTACAAGTCTTACCCTAAGAACATCACTATCACCATCATCATATCAATCTCCTATCTTCCGAAAAGCACCTGACTCCTCTCTCCCCATCCCCCAAAAACGCTTCGAATTCTTCCTTGCCCAGAGCTCGATCACTGTCTCCGTTATCCTTTATTTGCATATACATTTAAAAATAAAAATACAGGAGTAAAATAAAACAAAGTCTACAAGTATAATACGATATACATCTATAGTTTTAATGTACATACTACCTAGATACATACCTCACAACCCAAACATCCCAGAGCAGAGGTTCAAGAACCAATAACCAATAACTAAAAGCTAAAAACCATCAAATCAATCCCATCCCCGATTCGATATTACACAATATGATAATCCAAGTTCCGCAACTACACAGATACTTGAATTCACCCTTGTAAATTGTCATTCATGTGGAATGCAGGTTGTCTTTCTAGATCTACCTAGCATTTATAGTTCTCAACTTCTCATGCGATTCGGGAAGAAACGGATTGGGGGTTTCAAGCTCGCTTCGAATTGATATTGATATTGTCTTTTTATTTCCATTTTCGCTCCAGATTCTTGATTTGAGAGATAGGTTGAGGAAGTATGTGAATCATGCCGGCGATATATCATCTCTCCCCAGACTTGAAACTTGAAGGTTTAATATAAGGAGATTCTAAGCACGAACAGAATCTAGATGGTTTGGATATTAGGTAGTAGATAACATGGTTTGTGAGTGCCGTGGCTAGTGACATTTATTGAGTATCCCCTATTTATCTGATTGGCTTTTTCGATGTGCAGTCTTTTTTGTGGTTCTTGAGTTTACTCCGATCTGGAGTTAGATTTCTTCCACATCCGTATCTGTTCTCCTGTATCAAATTGGTTCTTCAGTTCAATATACAACACAAGCATTTCCCATTCCAAAACCAACTACGTAAGAGCTTTGATAGACATACCTACATAGCATGAAAATGCCTATCTAACCCCCCTATAAAAGCAAGAGTGAGTATTCCAATTCACCTACCTACCACGAGTGACGAGACAGCGTCTTTCGAATTTCCCAAACCCCTAATTATGTTACAAGCAAGCAACTCAGCAAGTCTGCAGCATGGAGTTTGAAATTAGACGATTCGCACTTCAGATAATTGCCGTCTTGCCTACTCTACCCTAGCTAGTATCTCCTATACCATACCCAGGGGGAAGAAAACACGAACAAGAAATTCATTGATTCTATGTGTGAAAAAGCGATAGAAGATTTCTTCGAATACTGTACTATCATATAATTAACCGAGTCTACACGTTATGTATAGGTAGCTACAAATATGCTTATTATACGCATTAGGTATCTAGGTACGAAAAAAGCAATACCCAAAAAGCGATTGACACAAGACTGGAAGGATGGCGTTGAAAAAATGTATGCATATTCGAGGTAGATGTGAAGACATATTTAAGAAACATTTCGAAAGGTGCAACAGTGCTAGCTGGAGATTTTATTTTATTCTTATCACCGTCTATCTGGACCAAGTAAAAGAGAAAGTGCTCGCGTAGATTTGGTAGAAAGTTGTGGATTTGAATTTTGCGAGGCACGCAATGAGGAATTTAGAGGTGGTAATTAGGTGGTTCGCTAATATGATGCGAAAAGGAGAAGTGAGATGATTGCATGTGATGAGATGATATGACGTACAATGGATTGACCGAACTAGGAAATCTGATGCCTTGAAGAGAAGAAAAGTCGAAGACCGAGATGAAATTGAGAATATTTGGATAATTAGTCAATCGAGGATATGTTTTGAATAGTAGGGGTGAGAGATTGTTCATCTTTGTCGTTTTGTTAGGAAAGTATCGACGAGAGTAATTGTTGGGATATACCGAATTGTATGAAAAGGAGACACAAGCGAATAATGGCGAGATTATGTGTGTAACCATTTGCGCCCCCCTTCCAAAATACCAACGCCACTATTTTTTTATAACTGGGTTAGTTGATCACCAGTTCCTCCCCCTTAATATCGTGAGTGAATGAATTTCGCCGCGTTCATATATTCGATCGAGAACAAGTAATATCTGTCTCGTTCTCGTTCTCGTTCTCCAAAATGCGAGATGCGGAATACTAGCTTCTTTGGTTCTCCGCTTTCACTCTCCCCGTTTAGCCCCCTTTTGCCCTCCACACCGCTTTCCAGAAGTTCTCATGTAACCGTTCAGACTACCATTTAATCAAGATTTTGGTACTCCAATCTGTTCGACTCGTGAATCCATCCAGACCCACGTCCGTCAAAAAGCTTGTGTGCAAATCTCTTACCAAGTCTTGGCAGGGACAGTGAGGAGCCGTGAACCACACTCTATACGACTCGAATAGGTACTGACCTAGTCCATTTACACGAAAACCCGAGTCTGTGACTATATCTCTCAACCACGAAACACATACGGATTACGATTGCTTTAATAAATGTATGAAAAGAGGAAGGAGGAAGAGGCACAAAAGGCAAAAAAACATACAACAGTGGGGATTCGCTGGTGGTCACCCACCCAACTACTAATCCACCGATCTGAAGCTTGTGTATGGCAGAGCGGACGGGATGCCCAATTCTCTTCAGTCTATGGTCGTATGTGACAGGCTCGGTAATGATAGTGAATATGTATCCAAGTAGAATGAGGTGGATAGGGAAGAAAGATACTTCCCGTGTACGATAATAGTTGAAGGGGATGAATATAGCTAAATAGATGAAAACAAGTAGGGATATACAAGTTGCAGATGACCGAAGTGCTATGGATTTGACTCTCTAGTATGCGGATCTTCACACGTAGAGTTGGAGAAAGAGATTGTTGACATATAAAGGAAAAGCAAACACAAAAAGTGCAGATTGCGAGAACCCTAGAGCTGGAATACAATTCTCATTCTCAAATCTCAACTGTGGGTATGTGAATGGATGGGACCAGTATCATGTATGCAATTGCTTAAATAAAATTCGGCAAATTGGCACTGTTAACCATCAGTCGCACCTACTCCCTTCAACACTCATGTATTCCAGCACGGAACCGATTCTTCGCATTTTGAGGTAGTATTTGGGTGCAAACATACACTCACCGAAAGTCCTCATACGAGATATAATTTGACAATAAGGATATATCTCATTATTCCTCTTGTAATCATCCACTGACAAATTAACCTTGACCCCAACCTGCCTACTCGACCATTCTTCTCGCTCTCGGCATATTCTTCTTTTCTTTCCCCTCCACCTTCTTTCTCCTTCTCTCGATGACCCGATCCAGTTGTTTCCCCTTCAACTCCCCGAAAGTATCTAATAGAACCCTCTTCTTTTGTTCTGCCTTCTTCAAATAATATGGCGTCTTTCCCTCCTTCACCAATTGCTTCTCCTCCTTCCTGTGCTTATCCAATACCTCTCGGGCCTTCCTCTTCCTAGCATCCGTCTTCTTTCTACTCTCCATTCGTAACAATTCCCTCTTCAACTTCTCCTTCTCATCTTCGTCCTTGGTTTTTCTAATCGTCTCCTTTAATTTCTTCATTTCGTCTTCCCGATAATCAACTAAGAAATCGTAATTCTTTTCAATCTTCTGCATATCAACCGGGCCATTCGTTGGCTCAAATCGTGGATCTCGAATCTCTCGTTTCTTGACAGGTACGACTTCTCTACGACGGGATACAGCTTTCTTGCTGGAGATTTCAGTAGGTGCATTTTTGCTGCTGCGGGTAAAGTCTCGTTGGTCCTTTTTTCCAGCTTTACGTTCGGTAGCTTCATTATCTTCCCATCCATCCCCATTACTCTTCTTTAAATTTTTCGAGTCCCTTTTACTGGGCTTGGGCGCGGTAGCTTGTGCTTTAGCCAATGCGCCGAAAGAGATCGAGGCCGCAAGGTTGGATGCTTCATCTTCGGGTTTAGATGATTCCTACTGAATGTTAGTTGAAGATCCAGATTTGGCTTTGATGAATCCAACCTCATCATCGTCATCATCTATATCATCTACTTCCTCGTTGCTGGAACTTCCTTCTTCCTCGTCGTCATTTTGACCAGTTTCTGATGGAGCAGAATCTGAAGAAAATTCTTCAATTTCTTCAGAAGCCTCTCTTCTTGCTCTCACGCGCCTCTGTAGACCAGTGTCTAGTGCTTTTCTCTTTGTTGATAACATCGTCAGATTTCGTAGTTGCTCAGATTTTAATTTCTTAGAAATTGATCGATATGGGGAATTTTTTGCCAATCTCTAACAATCTCAAGGCGGTGAGGCACGGAATAACAAAATTCCGATTAGTTTCGAATCTTCCTGTTATCGATTTTTCGAGTTTATCTTCAGCCTTGTATCTTCGAACAGAAGGTGAACTTTCCAGCTGATGTCCCTAGCACGTTCTTTTGTGTCAACACTCAGTGCAGTAGAGTTGAGATACATCACTGCGAGAAAATTCTCTTCAACTAACAATGTGTTAAATCAATGGGAACGAAACGACTCGGAGCAAACACCATCAAAAATAAGGTTCGGCGAAAGGAATCGAAATCAGCCCGGAGCACCATTCAAATCTGGGGACGAATACAAGAGTGATAGAGTCTCTACATTTGGCGATAAAAAGACTCCATTACTGGATGACAGTGGTTCCGAGAACATCGCGACAAATCTATCAAAACCATTGTATCCGCTATTACGACCACCATACTTTGCACGCAAACCAGATCCACTACAAGATCGGGCATTCTTCTACCCCTCATTTATTAAAGATCTTTGGCGACATAAGTTAGTATTAAAGGAGAAAATGGCTCCCATGTCCAAAAATGCGAGAGTACAACCTTCAAAAGCCTCAGGTGGTGTTCCAAATCCTACCAGCGAATACCTAGAAAAGTCCTATACCAAGCCAGACCAAACGCCAGTCCCCTCTCCTGTTGCCCGCCATCTCCTCGTCGTCATCGATCTAAACGGCACACTTCTCTATCGCCCCAACCGCAAATCCCCTACTAAATTTACCGCCCGTCCACACGCCGAGAAGTTCCTACAGTATTGCATCGATACCTTTTCCGTTGTAATCTGGTCATCGGCTAAATCGCAAAATGTGATCCCCATGTGCAAAACTATTCTCACGCCCAACCTCCGAGAAAAGATTGTTGCCATCTGGGGTCGCGAAACATTTGGTCTCAGTTCCATGGACTACAATACTCGCGTACAATGCTACAAACGTCTCACTAAACTCTGGAACGACCCGCAGATTGCAGCTACACACCCCGATGCTCAAAATGGTGGCAGATGGGATCAGACAAATACAGTATTGATCGATGATTCCAGCGAGAAAGCCCGCAGCGAACCTTTTAATCTGATCGAGATTCCAGAATTCTTTGGCGATGACAAGGAAGTCGGAGATGTATTGCCACAGGTTCATGATTTCTTGAATTTCCTCAGCATGCATGAGAATGTCAGCGCTGTGATTCGTCATTCGCCATTTGTGCCACAACCCAAGGCCGATCCTCGTAAGGCTACAGGTTTGAATTTACCCATCCATCCACCTAAAGCTTTAGGTCCTGCTAGAGTCCCGTCTCCAGTTGAACCGGTGTATCAGCCCTCATACTCAAGTGATACTGTACCCTCGAAGTATCAACCGATGCTTGGAAATTCGGAGAAGTGGTAATTTTGCCCACTAACCGCTTTCTATTGCTGGTAAGTTCATTACCTCAAGTCAAGTATGGCATTGTGATCATTAACACTGAGTGGTAGAAACTTCTTGACATCAAGATCACTTGGTACTTTCCTTTCTTTATGATACCCTTTTTAAACATACTTCTGGGGCTTATGTATAGGTGGTGGGTCATTAGGATAACATAAGGCATCACAGCATTAAATGGCGTTTACGATGGTATTCATCAATGTATAGTGGCATGGTAGTGAACTTAGATTGCATTGTTGCATAAACGTTAGGCTAGTAATACCAATAACTATCTCCATTTAATTCGTTTTAATTTATCCTCCCACACGTCATGATTGATCATTACACGTTAACCCTATTCAGCGCTAAAATCATTTTGAAAATTGAAACATCTTGAAGTAATGATTTACTTGAAGACCTTTCCGTCAGCCCATGGGTACTCCTTGCCGTTGACGACAAGTGGCTTCTCCCAGGTCCATTGCTCGTTGACGAACTCTCTGTCCTCTGGCTTGCTGGCATCAAGCTTGGTGAACTCGTAGCTCTCATAGTCAGGGGCGACATCGAAAGCTGGGAGAGCCTCTTGACCACGGATGACGAAAGCACCCTTGATGATGCTGTCGTTGGCGGTACCGTAGACGGAAGCACATCCAAAGATGTACTTACGGGAAGCCTCAAGACGAGCGAAGAAACCACCGATCAAGTTGGAGGTCATGAAGACTTGAGTAAGCTCGTCATTGTACTTGTAGTCAACAGTCCACAAGGAGTATTCCTCAGCGTTGAAGTTCTCCCAGAACCACTTGAGGGCATCAGGGGTCTCTTGGTTAGAGTATTGACGCTTCCACTCATCGAGAGGAATGGTGGGCTTTGCCAAAGCCTCGAGAGGGTGCTTTGGCTTTGGTGCAGCTGGGGCCTCCTCTTCCTCCTCCTCGACTTCCTTAGCCTTTGGCTTAGCAGCCTCCTTCTTTGGCTTCTCGGCCTTTGGTGCCTCGGCCTTCTTTGGTGCTTGGTTCTTGAGGGTTGGCTCGTCGATCAAAGCGAGAGGGTCAACAACAGCAGAGTAGATTGGCTGGTTGTAGACGGTAGCGTACCAACGGGCAGTGTTTGGGTTCTCAGCTCTCCACTTCTTGTCGAAGAAGAATTGGAAACCACGGGAGATGATACCAGCGGCGAACAAATCGGCAAGAGTGATACGCTCACCAGCGAGGTAAGTGTTGTTCAAGAGGTGCTCCTCAATGACGGAGATGCACTTGGCAGTGGCCTTGATGGCATCATCGACGTTCTTCTTGTTGTATGGGTCACGGCCGATGAGAGGACGGAACCAACCACCGAGGGATGTGAGGACCTCAGAGTTGAAGAAAGACATCCACTTCAAGATAGAAGCATAGTCTTGCTTGGTCTTACCGAGGAGGGTGGTCTTCTCGTTTTGGGAGGTGACTGTAAATCTTGTAAGCTGGTGACTCATGAAACAAAGCAAATGCAAGATAATTTTTTAAAGATAGTGTTCAGAGTCTAATTAATAAAGATCAACATAGAATGATTAAGACAGGGATAACTGTATGACATTTTTTTCATCATTACACAGGAGAGTATGTGGAAGGTAGAGTTGTTGCAAATTTGTGCGAAACAAAGTGGGGTGAAGTGGGATGTAAACATACTATAGATAGCGATGGCAATGGCCTCGTGGAGGGTGAAGCCGTCAGCACCAACGAAAGTTGGGACTTTGCCGAGCTTGTTGATCTTGAGGTATTCCTCAGAGACTCCCTTAGCTGGCTCGGTCTCGACAATGTCGAGCTCGATGTTGTTGGCCTTTGCAACTGCACGAATGGCAGGTGAGCGGGGGTTGCCCTATAAACAGTATGGGATTAGCAGAAGGTACATAAAACTATTTGTTCGCAGATAATGTAGCGGAGACTGAATAAATGCATATACATACTGGGTAGGTGTAGAGAGTTCCGAAAGCCATCTTTGCGTTGATTCAAAGTTTATTGATTTGGATGAAAGGAAGAAACTTTTCGTGAGATGCATCTTCTCGAAAATTTGAGGTGGGCGGAGGGGTACAATAAAGCTAGTCTAAATCGGGCCTAGAGCCGAAATCAGCTGATGCGGGAAAATCGAGATATCGAAATCTAAAGTTTACGAAGGTCGATTTAAAGAGTAAAGGCTCCTAAAAGTCCACGACTTAGTTCCCTCTTCAATATGAAGACATCATGGCTTCCTGCAAGCCTAAGGGAAGGTCTTAGATGCGCCTCTTCCACCCAATCAACCATCCCCAGATCACTACTCCGAAATCGAATTCCTCTTTCCTCGCCCTCGAAATCCTTCACAACCACTTCACAACTTCGAGACAGCATTGCGGCCCCAGAAATAAACTTTCCGGATGAAGGAGGAAGAGGGGAAAACGGATCGCAAGAGCCACCGAAATTCTTCGCGCGTCTAGTTCCATACTCGCCATCATATTTCACGGCCCAGCCTTCATATACCGACAATCTTCTCCAATTGCAAAACCTCCTACTAAAATACTCGAAACTGCCTGTTGTGCAACCAGGAGAGGCGCCGCGTGTGGCATGGAGGTCTCTTATGGAATATAGAGATCAGACTGGAGAGGGAGTACGGTCATCAAAATATCATAAGATTGTGGAGACACTACATCGACTAAATCACATTCATCCATCAGTGATGCCCCCAGATGTGAAGGAGGCTATGGACAGGTACAAACGAGATGTAAACCCGCACGAGAATGTCGCAAAACCTATACCCATTGATCAATATGGACGGGCATTAGGAGTCGGAAGGAGGAAATCGTCTACGGCGAGAGCTTACTTGGTAGAGGGTACGGGGGAGGTGCTTATTAATGGGAAAACACTCGCGGAGGCTTTTGGTAGACATCATGACAGAGAAAGTGCTATCTGGGCTTTGAAGGCTACGGATCGGATTGATAAGTACAATCTTTGGGCCCTGGTCAGTGGAGGTGGAACTACAGGGCAAGCAGAAGCTTTGACGTTGGCGGTGGGGAAGGCTTTACTTTCACACGAACCGGCTTTGAAGCCTGCGTTACGAAGAGGTAAGTTTTTCGAAGTTTATTACTTTACCCTCTCCCTATTTATCGAGAGGAGGCAGTACCCAAGGATAGGAAACTAACATATCTCCAGCCGGATGTGTAACTCGTGATCCAAGAAAAGTGGAGAGAAAGAAGCCAGGTCATGTCAAGGCCAGAAAGATGCCTGCCTGGGTCAAGAGATAGTTGTATATGTATTTCATTGTACCAATACATATGGTGTTTGGGTTTCCGATGGCTTGTCTATGGGCTTGAGACTCATCATGTAAAAAACATGAGAATTGAATAAATACCCAATTATATTCGAAGATACGTACTTCCAACATCAACACCATCAGCTATTTCAGTGGGCCTTATTTTGAGCAAGTCAGCTCGATGGGTAAGCATACAAAATCATAAACTACTCCGATACAACATCAACTTTTCATATATTCTTCAGTCCTCAAAATAGCA